CCCAGGAGCGGCGCCAGCGCGAGGCGCAGAGGCGGCTCCACCGCTTCGAGGTCCTGGCGGGCACCGAGCGGGACCGGCCGCCCAGGGCCGACCCGGAGCGCGCCGTGAAGGAGTACTCCCGCCCGGCGGCCGGCAAAGAGACCACCCGCCCCAGTGACCTCCGACCCCCGGACGTTCTGTACAGGACCACCTGCTACCTGATTGACCAGATCGCGTCCTCAGACACCCTGGGGCCCTGGACAGAGGCAGGTGTCTTCCTTTCTAAGGTTACAGGTTGAAAACAAGAGCGGATACAAATGAGAGGAGCCGTTCGGCCCCTTGAGCCCGTTTCGTAGTTGGTTGTCAACCGATAGAGGATCTAACCCAGCCATTTTTTTTAAAGTAGCCAGGATATTGTCTTCAGCAACGTGGGTAGGTAACTTGTTCCACACTCCCACAACTCTTTGTGTAAAGAAGTGCCTCCTGTCCTGGGTTTTAAATGCACTGCCACACAGTTTCCACTGGCGCCCTTAAATGCCATGCGCAGCCCTGCCTTACCCTACCGTGCGGGACAGGCAGGAGAGCAGGTATGTCCCAGTAGACACTGGACAGTCGATCCAGTGTATGTCTTCAGGATGAATGAATGAAGCAAGGCCTGAGTGAAACATGAACCAGAAATGGAGACGAGGAGGGTGTGTGTTTAAAACCGACCACCCTTCTTTACACAAAGGGTGGTAGGAGTAGGCAACGGGATGCCCTGCCATTCTGCTGAAGCTCGTACCTGGATGACTTGAAACCAGCCTGATCTAACCCGCCTCCCGCCCGCCTCGTGCTGTCAGGTGTACGACTTCGTGTTCGACCGGCTGCGCAGCGTGAGGCAGGACATGATCGTCCAGCGCGTCGGAGGCGAGACCTGCGTGGCCATCCTGGAGCGCACCGTCCGCTTCCTGCTGTACGCCTCCCACCGGCTGAGCCAGGAGCCCCTGCGCCTCTACGACCCCCAGATCAACCACACCCACCTGCAGGAGAGCCTGAGCTGGCTGCTGGGCTGCTACCGGGAGGAGCCCGGTCCCCATGGCAACGAGGAGGAGTTCCAGGCCCTCTGCTTGCTCTACAACCTGGGTAGGTACCCGGTGGCGATGGGGTCCCGGGACCGAGACCGTGCGTGAATGGGGGTAGCAGCCTCTCCTTAAGGGGGAACTGCAGAGCTGTTTTTATATTTCGGGGGGTTGATAGGAATCAGCGTTGATGAGTGCATTTCAAACCACAATGAATGGATGTAAAATGTAGACAGAAACTTGTAAAACCTCCAATTTACACCACAAAATCGACAGAATTTCCAGGTAGGCGCAGCACCATGTTCTGCGATTCAGAACGAGGCAGGGTGACGTATTCAGGCCCTATTACACTGTAAACCAGCAGGCTTGTGAACACATCTCTTGTTATCTAATAGAAATATTGCTCTCAACTTCGAGACTGTTTTGCTGACAAATACAGCTCACTTGTTAACTCTGCAGGCAGATCGCATTGGAACATTTCTGCAGTGAAATGTCTGCAGCACAAGCTGTACTCATTTGCTTGTTCATCACAGTACATGAGTCGTTCCAGGGACTAGTGAGCAGGAAGGGCCGCCTCACGTCACAGTTCACGACAGCTCCGGCTCTCGCCCATTGCGAGACAAGGGGTTCTGTGACAACGTGGCGACTTACAGTACTTTCACAAAGTTCAGGATTTTTGCTTAAATTGGAATCTGTTAAATTCTTCTGTACCGTCAATGAATTTATTTTTTTTCCTGAAATTTAATAGCCAGTCTGGGAACTTGGGCCTGCAGTTCTCCTTTAAGACTGAGTCCTGGACTGTCTGCCCTGGGTTAGAGTGCCTGGTGGGTCTGTCAGACTAGACTGTGGTCCAAGCTGTTCTGCAGCCCTCTGGTTCAGTCTGCTGCACCACGGCCCCCAGTCACTTCTGTGGCCCAGGAACTGATTCCACACAGTCACTCTGAAGGCTCAGCTGGAGTGGAAGTCTGCTGTCAGCAGGGTCAAAGGGCAAAGGTCAGGCTCAGCTGGTCTGAGAAATTGGGCCTGCAGTTCCCCTGTAACACTGTGAACACTGATGTCTGAGGGCTCTAACTGAACCAGTCACTTGCTTAATTAACTCAAGATCACCCAATGCTCTAATCAATGACCATGATAGAGCTACCTGTCCAACCCATGGGCTTTAGAGTCTCCTGGAGCAGGGTTTGCATGTGCCTTGTTTATTTAAAAGAATCCTTTTTAAATATTCGCTTTGTCAGTAGAGTTTGTACAGAGGCCGTGAGCCCCTGAATCCTGGCCTGACTCAAGCTGCTCAGAAGCAAGAGTCCCAGCAGGATCCTGGCGTCAGTAATACTGGGTTTGTGGTCTTCCAGAGTCCTAACTGGACACCCTGTCGCTTCCTGGCGTTCATTGCACTGACCGGCTGAACGCCGTGAACATTTTAGACTTGGAACAGAACAGACACTGCAGTGAGACCACTAGACACTGGACGGTCAACCCAGTGGACTTGAATGACTGAATGAAGCGATGCCCGAGCGGAACATGAACCAGAAATGGAGACAGACGAGGAGGGTGTGCATTTCACACTGACGACACGTCTTTACACAAAGGGTGGTAGGAGTGGGCGACGACGATGGCCAGCCATTCTGTTGAGGCCGAGCTAGAAACAGATCAGATCAGCAGAGGCCGAGCGATGAGCCAGACGAGCCCCCCCCCCCGGCACTGACCTGTCCTCGTTCCTTCTCGAACCCAGGCTCCCCGGAGGCCCTGCAGCACGCCCTGCTGCTCCCCCCGCCGCTGCGGCGCTCCCGGCCGGTGAGCCTGGCGCTGGAGGTGAACCGCGCCTACCTGGAGCGCAACTACGTGCGCCTGTTCAGGCTGGCGCGCCGCCTCGGCTTCCTGCAGGGCTGCGCCCTGTGGCGCCACCTGGGGCCCTGCCGACGCGGCCTGCTGCTGCTCTACAGCCACGGGCACAGCAGCCGGCAGGGCCGCTACCCGCTGGGGAGGCTGGCGCAGCTCGTGGGGCTGGAGCGCGGCGCCGCGGAGCAGCTCTGCCGCCAGGCCGGCGTGGAGGTTAAGGGGGACTGCGCCGTCTTCAGCAGGGCCTCGTTCCGGGACCCGGGGCCCGGGGCCGACGGGGGCCGCCCCGACCTGCTGGGCGAGGGGCCGGCGGGCCGGAGCGTGGCCAGCATCGTCCACGGGACCGCCGGCCCGGACCCCTGACTTTCCACGCGTTTTCCACGGCTGCGGGCGGGCCGATCCGCTCCAGGTTTTCCCAGCCGCGGGGGACCAGGGGACACGAGCTGCGAAGAGCTCTGGAAACAGGGAGCTCCTGAGCTGCTTGGTTGTTTCCCTGCTGTTGACAAGGGTTTTCCTTTGCTTTCCTGCCTCTGGAGGTCCAGAGAAAAACCCGGAGTGGCACAGGCAGCAACGCAAGGGGAATCCGTCTCCCAGTCCGGTCCTACAAACACCATCAACAAGTCCTTGGGACAGCAGGGCTGTGTTCACTGGGGGCCGGGGTTCCTGTGGACTCTGCACAAGAGAAAGAGCCCGTCCCTTCTGCGGGAGAGCACGGAAGCACGTGTGGTCTCCGGTCGAGGGGCTGTTCTGATGGATATTTGACTCGGGACCGGTTCTGATCGTTCAATACCTTTGCCTTCTCTCGCCACCTGGACCGCACGCCTGTAACTGCAGGTCCGGCTCCGAGGGAGGTGGTGCTGGGAATCGTCTTATTTTGACTGTTTACGTCTGGACTCAAGCGACGGACCGCGCCGGGTGGGTTTTATTACAAGTCTCAATGATGTTTTTACTTCTGTGACCGCGAGAGGACGCTGTGGCTCCACGCTGCCAGACCGCTCATCGTGGCTTGAATAAAGATTTATTTTACCAGTTCGTTGCCGTATTAAAATATCTACAGCTTTGGAAAGCTGGGGAGTATAGATCCGCTGGGCAGGTCACGGGTACGAGAACGGAGCGCTAGCAGACCGCTCTGTTGAACGCAGTGTGAGCGATAGACGAGACTGGGGCTGCTCGTTTGGAAAGAGTTATTCGAGATTTGACCCAGTTCACTAGAATGTAGGAAACTTTATTCGCCTGGCGCTTCCAAACGGGGTGGGGTGGTGGGGGGACTCATCGCTCCTGCACGGGGGCCGGGGGTCGCCCTGGGCGCTGAGCGCGTTTCACACCCGGGAGGGACGGAGACACGCCGCCGCCGCCGCCAGTGTCCGAGAGCGGGATCTGCGACCCCGGCGCGCCCGAAGACAGGAGTCAACACTCGGGCCGGTGGGGAAGACCGCCTCGGCTCTCTTTCCTGCCCGCGATCGCCGTCCCCCCCGGCCCAGGTGGAGAGCTGGGGGGCGCCGTTTCTGGAGTCGGGCGGCTGGATAGGAAACGACAGGCGTTTGCGGAGCTTCTGCTAACGGAGGGGGAATCGGGCAAAAACAAAAGATCACGGAACTTCAAAGAGTCGACTGGAGAGAGAGGGAGAGGGAGAGGGAGGGAGAGAGGTGGTGGAGGGGAGGGGGGTTGAGCGAGAGAGGGAAAAACGCAGCAACGTCCCCTCTCACATGAATGAATAATGAGAGAAATGAGTATTTTTCAGCACCGGTTCGGGAGGGTGGATGCCGGTGGGATGACACGCTGAAATATGCGGGCTCGGATGTGAAGCCAAGCGTTCGGGGGCGACGCCTGACGCGAGAGGACTTGTGCAGGTCGGCAGAAGTTAGGCTGACAAAAAAAAAAATTGAGCTGCACAGAACGGAGTTTTTTTTCCCCCCCAAAGTGTGTTTTAAAAAAAAAAGTTGAAGTCTCTTCGCCGTACAGCGGTAAGAGAGAGAGAAAGAGAGGGAGGGAGGGAGAGAGAGAGGTGAGCGCCCGTTCCCCTGGCTCCTCTTCCAATGGCCCACGCTTTTGAACAAATCGGAGAAAGATTTTAATACTTCTTCCGCCCGTGTCCGCTTGCATGTGAGCTCCCGGGAGCCCCTGTGATACAACTGCGGTCCTTCCCAGGCCACCTCGACACCCGTCAGTAAGTTTTCGCGACCGGCCCGGCCCCCGGCCGAGCAGAGCGGCGGAGATGCGGAGAGCTGGCGGCGGCCAGGCGCTCCTCCGCTGGGGAGCTTTGATCCTGCTTTTCCGGGGACTCTTCGCCCAGGACAGACAGTGAGTACTTCTCTCCCCCTCTCTCTCTCCCTCCTTTTATCTCTGTGGTGTCGCCATTGCAACAATTAAGGGGCAGTTAGCGGGGGGTATTTTGTTTTTCGGGCGCACTTGCTGGTAACGTGCAGGAAGGCTGTAATGTGCGTAGCTACGGTTCAATCAAGTTCATCGGAACCGGAGAGGGGACGCATTCCGGTCACTTTCCTTTCTGGGGGGTGTTCCGATAACTCGGGAAGGGGGAACCCCGTTCTTTCAGAGCAGCTGAAAACATTTTGCTTTCCAGCCGGGAACACACTGTACTTCCATACATACCTAGCCTAGCTTTCCGAGCTATCCAAGGAAATGTGAAGTGTAACAAATTACTTTTAAGACCCGAAACATTTGAAAAAAAAAAAACAACTAATCTCTCCTGCGCTGACAGACAGGGGGTTGTTGAAAATATGTGGAGACTTTGGCTTCAGGTCAGAGCCGAGGCGCAGCAGTAGTTTCTCCCCGGCGGCTGACCTAGGCGAGCTGCCGGGGGGACCCCAGTCGCGCCTCGCGTGTTCCGTGGGCAGACAGCTCCTCTCCCGGGAGGTTGTCGTTTCCGCCGGAGGGGCACAGCGCAGCCCCGCACCGGACAGCTGGGGAAGGGGGCTCTCCGCTCCCCGAAGCCGGCGGGCAGCAGCCGGCCCCCGGAGCAGACGCGGGAGAAACGGGTCGGGTGTCCGTGTGGGCTGGGAGCGGGGAGACCCCCGTATATCTCGGGAGAGACCCGCGCTGTCCCGTAACGGCGGTGGCCGGTTCCCCTGGGTTAGTGGACCAGCCAGAACCGAGCCGGTTTTCCGTGAGGGGGTCCCACCATTTGAGGTGGTCACCTCGCGGCTGTTATCGACCCCTTGGAAGAATTAATCTGGTTTTCGCTTTCGGGAGTTTGAATCTGAAGCAACAGTTAGCGGTTACTTAACAAGAAAGAGCTCGCCTTAAATTCGGCCACGACGAATGTCGTTCGTGTTTTACATTCTCTGCTAAAGAATAATGATGCACTTAGTATAATAATACGAAGAACACTGAAGTGCCGTAATACAGTGATTTTAAATCGCAGAATCATTAACATGAACAGCAGGGAAGGCAGTCAGTTTGAAACGCTGATTTTTTCCTTGGAAACTAGATGTTGAATTCAGGTCTGTTATTGTGTTTCTGAGTGGGCTCTGCCCCCTCGCTCGGCGGAAAGGCTACCGCTGTCAGGATCCGGTGTTTTCTGAGGCGGGCTGGGTTTTACTGCCCGGCTTTCGGCGGCTTGTCGAAGCCGCGGGTCAGCAGTCCGGTTTCAGCCCGGACAGTCCTGGACCGTCTTGGGGGCTCTAAGCCCTGATGGACCTGGAGAGTCCTTCTGAAGTGTATACTATTAGGACGCCAGTACGTGATACGATGCACTAGTTCGAAATAATGTCATTATTCATATTAATATTATTAAGAGTCCCCGCAGTGCTGAGCCTAGTATTATTTTTTGTTGTGTTGTGTTTGTGGTCGGTTTCTGCTTAACAGTTGTCATGACATTTAGATAACCATCCCGGTCATCATCAGCAGACTTTGTGACGAGGTGTCTGGGAAACGTTTCCTTTTTGAAGTAAATACGCCCCCCCCCCCTCGGGTCTCCTGCGTCCCGGGCCGGGGAAGCGGTGCTCAGGGAGGGGGGGCTGTGTTGTTGTGGGGTGTCTGTCATGCTCGGTGTTGGAAGACTGCCCTGCGCTGTGTTTGATTGATCGGGTCTCCGGGATGCCGCGCTGTGCTGTGATCGACTGATCTGGCCTATGAAATTCCCGTGCTTCCACCACCTGTCTGCAGCATGCCAGAACTTCATCCCGAGCCGCTGGCTGCTGTTTCCTGCATTAATTGCGAAGGAATATCGGTTGGTCTGCCAAGAGCTTTCCAGATTAGTGAACCATAGAAAATGCTGCCGTTAGTACAGCGGGGATAAAGAGGCTGTGTTTACCTTTGTTATATTCTCTTAGCTGCCCACCACATTCCCAGATTTTCTCCGAATTGTCAGGGAATTAAATGGCATTTGGGCTACAGTAATCCCACCCGGGTGACCTGGCGCCCCGGGCACGGTGTCCCAGCGGACAGTGAAATGACAGAATGAAAAAAAAAACCCCACTCATGTGACCCGCCCCTTCCATTTGAAATGTCTCCCAAGTTCCGGCACAAGCAGCAGCCCCACAGGAGCTCTCTCCGAGCGGCCTGTGCAGATCGGAGGCGCGGCGAAGCTGTTGATCTTCAGATATAGTGCTTCCCAAAAGAACCAATAGGCGCCTCGTACCCGACACCCCCACCTGAATGTCCGCTGCAAAACACCCGCTTGTCTTTCATGATGGAGTACCTCCGTGCTGGGGAGCACTGGAGCTGCCTGCTGATCTCCCAGCCACGTGCTCTCTCGGAGTGGCACTGGTGCCTCTGGAGTGAAATTGCGTTACAAGATATACGATACAATTTTGCAAAGACAAAGACCTGTATTGTGGTGTTATTTCACACTTCTGATTCCCCTCCTCCTAAGTGCTGCGTGTGCGTGCAAATTGTGTTTAATTGCCCGAAGCAGTGCTAAATAGAGGGGCAGCTCTGTGTTTTTTTAATCTAATTATTGTTTCTTGCACAGCAGATTGGAGCTCTTATCAACAAGTGCTCAGCGGAGTCAGGATTGAACTCACTTAGAGTTAGGAGAAGGAGAGGAGTAGGAATGTTTCTGTCTCCTAGGGATTTGGGTATCTAATGGCTGACTCCGTTACACAAAGCACCCCCACCCTGATTGCCATCCAAGCACCTTGACCTAACTTGACCTTTTCAGAATGTTTATTTAGAGAAGGGAGGCTTGACCTTTGCCCTTTGACCCTGCTGACAGCAGGCTTCCACTCCAGCTGAGCCTTCAGAGTGACTGTGTGGAATCTCAGTTCCTGGGCCACAGAAAGTGACTGGGGGGCCGTGGTGCAGCAGGCTGAACCAGAGTCACAGCTTGGACTACAGTCTAGTTTGACAGACCCACCAGGCAGACAGTCCAGGACTCAGTCTTAAAGGAGAACTGCAGGCCCAAGTTCCCAGACTGGCTATTAAATTTCAGGAACAAAAGAAATGCATCAGGGCCGGATTGTGGTGCTCGTAGGCCCCGGGCACTTTCACTCTGAGTTGTGCCAGGAGAGGGGTCAACGCCAGTTGAATTTTGTTGATTGACAAGATGCACTTTAAACTGTGCTAATGCTAAACCCCGTGACTGATGGGGCGAGTCGAGAGACCATCATTTCCACACTTCTAGTTTCTAGAACAGCCGCTAGAGAGCGTGTGATTGTTGATGTGGAGAACCGAGAGTCGATCGCCAGCGTGTTGTTTCAGCTCGTTTTTCATTAGTCACTAGTGTTTCCCTCCTTCGTAGGCCCTAAATTTCATAGGCCCTAGGCACTGTACCTGCAGGGCCCAATGGGAAATCCGGCACTGAAATGCATTGGCAGTATAGAAAAATGGAAAAAATTCAGATTTAAGCACAAAATCGTCAACTTTGTGAAAGTACTGTAAATCGCTATGTTGTCGCAAACCCCTGTCTGGCCACGGGCGAGAGCGAGAGCTCCCACGAATTGCGCCGATGAAGCGGCCCTTCCTGCTCACTAGTCCTTGTAATAACTGCAGTAGTGGTATGTACGTGCAAATAAGTACAGGTTGTGCAGCAGACATTTCACCCCAGAAATGTCCCAACGTGATCTGCCTGCAGAGGTAACAAGCAGTACTTGTCGGAAAAACGGTCTCCAAGTCAAGAGCAATATTTCTATTGGATCACAAGAGATG